TCCTGTAATATGTCGCTGACTCCCAGTGCCCTTAATTTTTAGTATCATTATCATCAATATTATTATTATTGTTGTTGTTGATTATATTTATAATTATCATTGTTACTATTTTTTAATGTTAATTAATATTATTATCATTATCATTGCTACCATTTATACTAATACTGTCCTTATTGTTATTGCCTTTATCGTGACGTTCGGGGCAAGATAGACACAGGTATTCGAAGTCGGGTCGGGGCCGGTTGCCAGGTACATTCCTTCGTCGATTTATGATGCTGATAATCGAGCATTTTGGTATTTGACCTTTTCATAGAATATGATTTTTATTGTATTTCTATTTTGCCTTTTTTTGAGCTAGTTATTTTTTATGGTTATTGTTATTATTATTATGATATTGTTTTTGTAGTTGATAATGATATTGATATCATTATTGCTTTTGATATTATTATTATTACTTTTAGTAGTAGTAGTAGTAGTAGTATTGTTAATATCATCATCATTATTATTATTATTGTTGTTGTAATTATTATTATTATTATTGTTATTGTTATTATTGCTGTTATTATCAGTTATTGTTAGAATTGTTATTACTATTTTTTTGTTTTATTGATATTATTATCATTATTTTTATTATTTTTAAATTATTATTATTATTATTATTATTATTATTATTATTATTATTATTATTATTATTATTATTATTATTATTATTATTATTATTATTATTATTATTATTAGATCTAGCTTAGGTGATCCATTTTACGTTATGTCCTTTATTTAATTGGTTATTTTTTATATTGTTTTATTTATCGATCTATTTTCTACTCATCTATTTATTTATCTATTTTGTTTAATGGTTGAGTGCCGTCCGTCCCCGCTGGAACGTGCGGTCAGGAATGGCTAATCGCGTCGTTCATGAAACACGCCAGTTTTGGATGTAATTGTCGCGTTTACTGATCCATGTCGTTACGTTAATCGCGAGCCGATGCGTCCCCATTGTTATGGCTGATTTGCAAGATGCATTGCAATCCTAACAAGCCTCGGATAAGGTATTCCAGTAGAGACATTGCATTTAATTACGATCGGCTCTTGATGACACGCCTTCCCTTGTCATCCCCCCCCTCCCCCCGGTAAAAAAACTCCGCAACCCTAATTACCCTCTCGTGTTCGCAGTAATGTAATTAAGCCCCAGAGACCCTGTGGCGGGGGTGGTGATGCTAATGGGGATGATGTAAGTGATGGTAATAATGGTGCTGGTGATGATGTAAATGATGGTGCAAATGATGTAATGATAATGATGGTGCAAATAACGATGCAAACGATGATGCTAATGATGGAAATGGTGATGCAAATGACGATGCTAATGATGAAACAAACGATGATGCAAATGATGATTACGCTCCAAGTGGGAATGCGGAGTCGCTGACGTGAGGGAGACGAAGGCGGCGGCTCAGGAGAATCACGCGCGGACCACACAGGGCGCCGCGTCTTCCTGGGTCTTGGGGGGGGGGGAGAGGAGGGGTAAGGGAGAGGAGGGAAGGGGGAAGGGAGAAGATGAAAGGGGGAGGGAAGGAGAGGAGGAAGGGGGAAGGGGGAAGGGAGAACGGAGACGTGGGAAGGGGAAAGGGAGAACGGAGAGGAGGGAAGTGGGAAGGGAGAACGGAGAGGAGGGAAGGGGGAAGGGAGAGGGAGGAGAGAGGGGAGTAGGGGCGTTTCGGGATCTGTTGGGCGTCTGAGATTCGTTAATTTTTCCTGGAAGGTGCTGGGTGGTTGTCTTTTTTGTTTCCATTTTTTTTTCGTTTCCATTTGTATTATCCTTTTTTATTTTCTATTTTTTCTTATCTATTATTTTTTTACCTTGTCATCGCCATGTACGTTGTTCCTTTTTTCTCTTTTTTTCCTCTTCTTGTTCTCACCTATCTCTTCATCCTTTTCGTATTCTCAAATGTATCTGTTTTTTCTGTCTTCTTCAATCCTATTTTCCTTTTTTCATCTTCGTTTCCGCCTTTTCTTCATTCTCATTTGCTTTCTTCCTGTTTGTGCTACTATTCCTCCTCCTTTTCATTGTCCTCTCTCTCCTCCTCCTCTTCGCCTTCGTCCTTCTCTTTCTCATGATCATTATCCAGTTTCTCCTCCTCCTCTTTGTGCAATTCCATTTCGCTTTTAGTCTGTACCGTCCACCTGATGCTGTGCCTGATACCATTGTTAGCGTCCAGTGGCAGTATTCACGACGCCAGGTAATGTCCAAGCCTGGCATTGGTATATCTAAGACAGTAGTAAAACCCCAAAAAGACCCCCAAGAAGACCCTCAAGAGACCCCAAAGACTCCCCAAGAAGACCCTCAATAAGAACCCAAAAGACCCTCAAAGAAGACCCCAAAAGTCCCTCAAGAAGACCCCAAAAGTCCCTCAAGAAGACCCCAAAAGACCCTCACAAGAAGACCCCAAAAGACCATCAAGAAGGCCCTCAATAAGAACCCAAAACACCCTCAAAGAAAAACCCAAAAGATCCTCAAAGTAGACCCCAAAAGACCCCCTAAGAAGACCCCAAAAGACCCCCAAAAGACCCCTACTAAGTAGCGATAAGACCAGACCGGCTTCGAAGCGACCCCACAATACCGCGCGGACAAAATCTATTAGCAGAACAATTGCGCACGAAGGAGACTGGCGGACGTAATGATGTTATCCCCGGCTGTCAGGCATGTCGGGAGTCATGTGATGTGAGGGGGAAGGGGGGAGGGATGAGGGTACGAGGGGTAGGGATGGACAGGAGGGAGGGGTTGAGGGAAGGGGGGTTGGGTAGGAGGGAGGGAGGGTTGAGGGAAGGGGGTTGGGCAGGAGGGAGGGGTTGAAGAGGAGGGAGGAATGGGTAGGAGAGATGGGTTGAGGGAAGGGGGGTTGGGCAGGAGGGAGGGGTTGAAGGAAGGGAGGAAGGGTAGGAGAGGGGTACTGATAGGCAGGAGTGAGGGATGGATGGGCAGGAGGGAGGGGAGAAGGGAAGGAGAGGGGTACGGGTAGTAAGGAGGGATGGATAGGCTGGAGTGAGGTATGGACGGGAGAGAGGGGTTGCAACTATTCATCAACGGGTCGTGCGTGCGTCAACAGAATGAACGTGGCGCTTTCGTTTTCAAGAATAGCATGCTTGTGGTTTAAAAGTCGAGGGCGCAGGAGAGGTGGGTGGGATGCTGGTCGCTTGACTGATCGCAAGATAATGAACTGACTCCGCTTCCTCCCCCTGCCTTCCACCTCTCCCTCCCCCTGCCTCTCGTCCTCGCTTCCCTCCTGCATCGTTTTCTACTTCCCTCATGCGCCCTTCCCCACCTCCCTCCTCCCCTCTACCCTTCTCTCCCTCCTTTACTTCTCCCCTTTCTTCCTTCCTTCCCTCCCTCCCTCTCCTCCTTCCCTCCCTTCTTTCTTCCCCCTCTCCTTCCCTCCCTTCTTTCTTCCCCCCTCTCCTTCCTCCCTTCTTTTTCCCTCCTCTCTTCCGTCTTTCTCTCCCCCCCTGTCCTTCCCCATTCCATTTCTTCCCCCAACTTCGTAATACCCTTTTGAACTCGTTATATGCCACATCATCTCCGAGATCACGATTAACCGATTTTATTCCACACGTGTGAGACCACAGCGTCCCTTTGGGAAGGAGGTTTGAAGACGTGATGGTACGTTTGTCTGTGTGTGTGTGTGTGTGTGTGTGTGTGTGTGTTTATTTATTTGTTCCACACAAGAAACAACAGCGTCCGTCGGGCTACTTCCTCATCCTGATATTTCTACGAGTTCGTCAAGGTCATGAAGACATAAGCTCACTTTTCACCGGCCCGTGAAGATCACTCAGATTTTTTTCCTCTCTGAACTTCTGAATATGTAGATTTTTAAGGAATTTAAATGAATATGTGGCATATTGTTATTACTATTTTAAGGGGTGGGGGATTTTGAACTGAATTTGTATATTTTTTCTTTGCTGAACTTCTAAAAATGTATTTTTTTCGTCTCTGAATTGAATGTATAGATTTTTTCTCTCTGAACTTCTGTACAAAGAGAATTTCTCACCGAAGATTTAAATCCTGATAGACAATATTCTACGAATTGTATTTTGTTCTAGGTCTTGGT